TGTAATCCCAGCTACTCGGGAGGCTGAGGTGAGAGAATTGCTTGAACCCAGGAGGCAGAGGTTGCAGTGAGCTGAGATCATGCCACTGTGCTCCAGCCTGGGTGACACAGTGAGACTCCATATCAAAAAAATAATAATAATAACCACTTAGAAAAGTACACCCATTAAGCAGACCCTACATCTAGAATGGGTTAAGCAACCATTTATAAGCATCTTCATGAGAAATGATCACCTCTGGGTTTTTCTGATATTTGAAATAAACATGGAACCAAACTGTATTTCCCTCAACACATAATGTCCAAATTGCATGTACAAGTGGAGGTTGTAGGAACTATATTCTGCCTTTTGAATTAGGCGCATAAGGCCACTGACCACTCTATATTTTACCAAGAGCAAGTGCGGTGACTTTTCTATTTCAGTACAATTATGGGCAGAAACAATATGATGCAAAATAGAGGTTCTTCCATAAAGTTTAAGATGTAGGGTAGAAAGGAAGACAAAAAGCAAAATTCCCAAGAAATCAGAATAACTTCACACTGGTCTTGTACTCCAAGAAACCCTGAGATGAACTGTAGTCCTCAAACACCTGTGCTTGGCTCAGGCTCACCAAGACACTTCAGTATGCTTCCAACTGGTTCATCATCAACTTCCTGCTATATTCGTAGGCCAAAAAGAGTGCTCCATTGGCAGGGAATGCTCGAATCATAGTAGGTTTCAGTCCAGAATATAAGGCCGTTATTCCTAGCAAATAAAAGGGCGATCAAAGACTGCAACAATCCCTCCTTTGGGGACACCCACGCAGCTGCATAGCACCGGTATATTTACATATGCAAACCCAGACAACAGTGCTAGAAACCAACAAGCCATGGAAGGATGCATTCCCAGCTTTCCCTAAATAGACTAACAGAAACAAGGACAAGTATCAGGTCTCCTGGCAAAACTGACTGATGCTCAGGTAACATACCCCAAATCCATGCTTGGTTCACTCTTAGTATATGGATGCGGCAGAGCTAAGGCCTGAGATGGCCAGACAGAGGCAACCATGGAGACAGAGGTGGCAGCAGCTCTGCAGCTTCACCTGGGCAGTGGCAGGAGCACCAACCTTGAAGCCGGAGACCTGTTTATAGTATTAGTACTGCCCAGGGTGGTTATGAAGATTGAATTAGATAAGGGAGGAAGGTGTAAATACTTCGTAAAACTTTAGCTGTTATACAGATTTAAGGGAGGATTACTATGAGTAATAGACAAAGTATCTGTGCTCTATTTGGGACACAGAGTTTCTGTGTTACTGTCCTCTTTCTTTCTCCAATCAAAACAGAGAAGTTCATATCTCAGATTTTTTTTTCTTTTTTTTTTTTTGAGACGGAGTCTCGCTCTGTCGCCCAGGCTGGCGTGCAGTGGTGCGATCTTGGCTCACTGCAAGTTCCGCCTCCCAGGTTCACGCTATTCTTCTGCCTCAGCCTCCCTAGTAGCTGGGATTACAAGTGCCCACCACCACGCCCGGCTAATCTTTTTTGTATTTTTAGTAGAGATGGGGTTTCACCTTGTTAGCCAGGATGGTCTCAATCTCCTGACCTCGTGATCTGCCCACCTCGGCCTCCCAAAGTGCTGGGATCACAGGCATGAGCCACCGTGTCTGGCCCATATCTCAGATTTTAACATGTATATGGATGCTTGAGAAACAGGTATTTACTCACCTTCATTTTTCACAACATTTATAAAGGTTCTGATAAATCCTGCCTGTTTTCCAGACATGGAAAGAACTTGAATTCTGGATTTGATACAATCCACTGGGTATACCGCAAGCCAGAGGCAAATCCCACCAACTCCACCACTTAACATCAAAGGGACAGGGCCTAGAGAAAAAAAAAAAAATAGCAAATGGTATTTTGTCTCAAGAACAGCTGATGTGACATTTCCAGAAGTCAATGTAGCAATGGCTGCAAGTAGATGAAAATAAAAATGCTAATGCGGCAGAATACAATTCTTTGAGGAAATGGTCAAAGCTCTTGTTACCAAGCTCTAAGAACACAAGGTTTTGTTTGGTAGCCCAGGTCTACCCCTGGGTCGTGCCAAGTACAAGAAGCCCTAGTGAGGGTTATATTTAGTTTGGTCACTGAGGTATCGAGGGCTGGCCCACATGAACCAGCAGGCCTCCAGCTGAGTGGCAACCCCCTACAGTGGGGAGAAGACAGGCCAAACACAATCTACGTTTTTTTTCAACTTTCTCACTCTTAAGTATTTTAATAGCCCTGATTCTTCCTTTATCATTAAACGCCAAAATTGTTTTTATTAAACATAGCAGTTAAGTCTGGGAGCTTGACTAACCACAGAATAGATTCAACACACACTGAGAGAGATGGTAAGAAAAACTCACTTATGTGAGCCAAACATCGCATGTAGTTAAACCAACCAGCTAAACATGATAAGCTACAAAGAACTATGGTTTCCGCTGCTCTCAAAACACTATTAAGATGACCAAGTTTTAAGCTTATTTCAAGATTATTTATAGGTGATTCCCCAATTGGGAAAGTCATTTCTGGATTTCTTCTCCCCTAATATAGATCCAGAAAAATTAACAAACTTTATTCCAGTAAGAAAGTTTGGGATGTACTGCTTCAGGCCCTGTCCTAAGGAAATTATCAGGCCTGGGGGGTGGGTGCTATCAACTGCCTGCCACCATGTTACCTTCTGGCATCCAGAAGCTTCCCTGTGCCAGATGCAGCCACCAATGTGGGGAGGAGAGCACAAAGGGCAGAGAATCCACAGAAACCACACCTATAAGGAGCAAACACCATCACACCCCACTGCTGTCAACGCAAACACATTTACCTAGTTCATCTTTTGATCTCCCTGATGCAAAAAAGGACCGGCTCAGTTCATAGCCACCAAAGAAGAAGAAATAGCCCGGTACTTCTCGAAGTAAAGTGCTTGAGAGTCCATGGTAGAAGCCCAAGGGGCCATCCTTCCTAAGGATACTTTTGATGACAGACCACACTGTACTGGGAGGAAACACAAAGAGCATGGTTATGGCAGGTGGGAAGGAAGAAAGGACAAGGGCATTTGCAACCAGTTAACAGATCTGGTCAAGCACTAGCAAGGAAGAAGCTGATTTTCTGAATGAAGAGCCAGGAACTGAGACTAAAAGGCATCCTTCTGTGGGAAGGAAATTTATTTACAGGAAGGAATTATCTAAACTCAGCAAGCATAAAATGGCATTTTATTGCCCGGTCCTTTATCGCCGTGATTCCTATTTCCTCAATCTTTCTGGTGTGTTTTTGGGAAATCTGTTCAGGTGCCTATAGGATTTGTTTTGTTTTAGTGCAGAGAAATGAGTGAAGGAGTAAATGTTGTTTGAAGGCAAGACAAATTCTGAGAACAAGTTATAGCTCCTGTTATGCAGAAGCACCAAGAATTTATTTCTCAGAGCACCAGGGATGCAGGAGAATTTCTTCTAAGCAGATCACAGCCCTGCTCCTGTAGCAGCCAGAACACAGAACACTTTTTGTCTGACTCCCCTTCATACTGGGGGGCTACCAGGGCAGGTTTATCCCTGCTAAGAACAGGCCAAGAAATCACATACTCAGTGCAACTCAGTGAATCCCTCTCTCCTCACTTTGTTCTCAGCAAGAAGGGGACTTGGCTTGGATAGATAAAGGATCAAGTTCCAAGGTAATAAAGGCCACAGACGTTTAATAACTATTTTCCTTCTGAGAGCTTCAGAAGGCACTGCTACATGGAATTTAATAAAAGTAATCCAGCTCAACACAATTAACCTCCCTTCCAATCCGAGGCTTAGCCCCAAGTTACCATACCATATGCTTTGTGTGAACACTGCTAGACCTCAAATACAAAGTCAGCTGATAATTCAAGGTGTCGATCTGCCTAAGTCCTTTGGATATAACTATTACTATCTTTTAATTACCTTGAATTACTTCCAAGGGACATGAGGGCAGCTTCCTGGGTGGTGTTAATGTTCTATTTGTTAATCTGGACACAGGTTACAAAGGCACATAAATTGTGTCACTAAATATAGAACTGCATACTTGTGACTTACATGTGCATTCATGATACTATGTGTATATCTGAATAAAAAGTTTTAAAGACTTACACTCTTGGACTTCTACACAATGAATATTAGATTCAAATTGGTTGTAATGTGTCTCAAGGGTGTAGAAAACAGGGCACTCTTCCAAACCCCATTCTCACTGAGTGGGGACTGATCCCTGAAAATGGTCAATTTATCTACTGCTTTTTCCCAGCAGATTTATAGGCTTTGAGTTAACCACAGCAATATCCTTGGTCAGAACTCGGCCAGATGTCAAGATAAGTAGGCAAGTTTTGCAGTTAATAAGGATAATGAATTGCTTTCCAATTCAAGTAAATCAAATTGTGTATGACAGAGCACTCTCCGAGGATAATGGGAATGTGTTTTCAAGAGTGAGCTGGAGAGTGATTTAATCATTGAAGAGTAGCTATGCTTACAAAAGTATTGATTAATGTTCTCAGAACTTGGACCATTTGCAGGTACACTGGAAGGACTGGGGATAAGTGGGGTAAGGAAAGCTACCTCTAGGAACTGGGGCAATCGGCCTGAATACCCATGTGAAACCTGGAAGTGGGCATCAAATATTCATCTCAGAATCCAAATTGGCACTTATGAAGGCTCAGGTCTAAGGCAAAGTTCAGAAGCCACCCACTATGTACCTCCAAAAATGGGTGAAGATCACGCCTTATGTTTCCAAGAGGCCAAAAAGGGTGTTAAGCTCCTGGTTTCTCCAGTTCTGGGGTATTAAATATCTGTCTAAGACTTTCTATGCTGTGGGTGGTGGGTCTAATCACAGCCAATCCTTTCAGAAAATCTCTGACTGATAGGGGAAAGCATTCTAGAAACAATATTTTGAGTAGATAAATCGGCTTCCACATCTGCCACTTTAGTACAATATAAAATGAGAAATCATCCAATTCACTAGGGCAATAGAGACCTGACGTTTGTGCCCAAGTGGTGCTTACTTCTGGCTTTTGGCTATCTTTCCTGATGTCTCCATCTCATACATGGTCTGCAGCCGGCACTTCACGAGCTCCGTGGGGCAGAGCACCAGTGCAGCAAAGGCAGAGGCGAAGGAACCGGCAGCTGCATTCTGCAGATCACTGAAAGCACACAAGCAGACAGTTACCCCTCAGCTTCTTCATTCCTTCGGCACCCACCACACGGAGGGCACTCTGGTGATAAAGCAGGGTAAGGAGCCAGCTGTGAGGGCATGAACCTGTGATTTCAGCTACTCAGGAGACTGAGGTGGGAAGAGCACTTGAGTCCATGTGTTCTAGGCTACAGTGCTATGACTGCATCTGTGAATAGCCACTGCATTCCAGCTTGGGCAACAAAGAGAGACCTCCATGTCTAAAAAAATGATGAAAGGAAGGAAACTTGCATGTGCTGTTTCATCTAAGGATCCCACAACCGTGTAAGGCAGATAGCAGCACCCCAATTCCCTATGGGAAGTGACACTTAGAGATGAGATAATGTGGCCAGTCACACAGCTACTGTTTGCTAAGATGTGAACCCAGGTCTTCCTGACTGCAACACCCATATTCTTTTGATTACACACAGCGCTATGGACTGAATTTGATCCCCCCAAGGTGATGGTGTTAGGAGATGGGGCCTTTGGGAATAGTCAGGTATAGATGAGGTCATGAAGATAGGGCCACTGTGATGGGATTAGTCCCTTAGAAGAACAGGCCAGAGAGATTGCTCACTCTCTGCCATATGAGGACACAGTGAGAAGATGGCTATGTTCAAATTAAGAACAAGCCCTCGTCAGACACCAGATCTGCTGGAACCTTGATCTTAGACTTTTCAGCCCCTAGAACTATGAGAAATGTTTGTTTTAGTCACTCCGTCTGTAGTATTGTTACAGCAGCCAAAGCCAAGATACATTGCGACATAACAAAATACAACTCCACAAAAAACCCAAAGGCAAGGAGAAAAATATTACCCACAGCCCCCACTGAAAAACATGCAATATTAATACTTCAGTGTATTTGCCCTAAGTTTTAAATAAAACTAGGCTCTAAGACTATCCCCACATGCCCACAATCCAACCTGGAGCAGCCAGATGTGCAACGTAACTGCCACAGATGAAAACCCAGAAAAAAGTTTAACCAAAAGTCGCTGCATCACAAAAAGATTTTCCAGTTCAGCTGATGACCTACCACCTCAGCAACACAGAAGAGGGTAAAATGGTGCCATGGGAGTGGGTGAAGCCAGTACAAGTTGCAAGCTCAATGGTATGAGATGAAATGGCTAAACTGGAAATCTAAACTAGACAGCACGGTGAATGCACAAATACGAAAACAGAAACATTTGCCTCCTGTATGGATTTAGTACCAGCAGCCAAAGGTCACTAGCAGGGTTGTGAAACTGGAATCCAGTAAGAGTTCAAGAATATGGGAGGCCAGGCGTGTGGCTCACACCTGTAACCCCAGCACTTTGGGAGGCCAAGGCAGGCAGATCACTTGAGGCCTGGCCAACATGGCAAAACCTTGTCTCTACTAAAAATTAGCCATGCCTGGTGGTGCACGCCTGTAATCCCAGCTACCCCAGTGGCTGAGGCACAAGAAGCGCTTAAACCAGGGAGACGGAGGTTGCAGTGAGCCGAGATCATGCCACTGCACTCCAGCCTGGGCGACACAGTGAGACTCTTTCAAAAAAAAAAAAAAAAAAAGAGAATATGGGGAAAAGTCTGAGAAGTGTTTCAAAAGAAAGGCTTCTCTGCGAGTTCATGGTTCACGGGAGTCGGGATAGAAGGTCCCTTCCAGCCCCGGAAGAGTGTTGCGTCATAGGATCATGACTGGCATTTGGGGTGGGACAATCCTTCATTGGGCAGGAAGGACTGAACTGGTTCCCTGACACCCATTCAATGCTGGCATCGCGCTCTCACTGGACAGCCAAGATCGCCCTCACAGATTTCCAAAAACCCCCAAGGGTGGGTGGGAATCTCCTCAGCTAACTACCCAGGTAGAGAGAGAATCCCCTAACAATTTTTCTCCAAACTGTGAGCAAAAGCGCAGACGGAGCCGGGCGCGGGGGCTCACACCTGTAATCCCAGGACTTTGGGAGGCCGAGGTGGGCAGATCATGAGATCAAGAGATCAAGACCATCCTGGCCAACATGGTGAAACCTCATCTCTACTGAAATACAAAAATTAGGTGGGCATGGTAGTGCGCACCTGTAGTCCCAGCTACTTGGGAGGCTGAGGCAGGAGAATTGCTTGAACCCGGGAGGCAGAGGTTGCAGTGAGTCAAGATCACACCACTGCACTCCAGAGTGAGACTCCATTCTCAAAAAAAAAAAAAAAAAAGCACAGACGGACCTACCATATTCAGGGGCACTAAAGTTTTTCCAGTGTTAAAGATTAATATAAAATCAAGGCGGCGCTAGTCTTGGCCCTGGTTTGCTAGTCCCTGGCGGTCTAGCTTCTGTGCCATGGCCAGATGCAAGGGGGGGTTCCCAGAGGCTGAGCTGACCTTTGATACACCCAAATCTTTCAGAAGACTTGGCCTGGAGTGGGGCTTTCTTTCAGTAGGAAGACACTGCTTGCAGTGCAGACTTCCTTTTGATGTTAGAGAATTAAGCCTAAAACCATTAACAAAGAAGAACCAGGTACGCAAATGTACTTGCACACGCTTTTATGGCTTGTGGAAACCATCCAATGCTGTTCAGTCCACTCCTTTCCCCCACTTCACTCCTTAGCAGCTTGTTAGAACCAAAGCTTAAAATGGTTTCTGCTGTCTTTCAGTCAGCCTGCAGATCCACAGTTGGCCTCCCTCAGGGACTCTCTGTTAACCTGCTGACAGGCAATAGTCAATTAGGAGCATTAACCAGGGTCTGCCAAGTTTGCCAGGACAAAGGTGGCCGTCAATAAATGTAGCAGTCTATTGAGTTGAAGATATAATAATGGCTCAGACATCTGAAGGAACGCCAAGCACATTCTTACAGTGCAAGGACACGGTCAAATCAGATATGCAGTGGACTTTGGCTTTCCGATAAATACTCTCATCGACTAGTGCACAGGAGGAGGAGCACGGGCCCCTGGTTCTGCATGGAGTACGAATGTGCAGAACTGGAATTGAAACGGTAATAAGTATAGGATGGGATGTTGTAAGAATCATCTGTTTGTCATATATTCAACAAACATGGACCTGAGCCCTCCTGCTGTGTAAGCCCCTGTCCAGCAAAACGTCAAAGCAGAACAACACTCTGGGTCATGTTGAAACCGGGAATAGACAAATATTTACAGTGTGATTGCAGAAATTCACCACAGGCTCTCACAAGCAGTTCTTTCCTTTCACTGCTCCTGATTAATCTTCTCTCTAGAACTGACCCTTATAAAATATTCCAGATCCCCAACCGTGGTCTGATGGAAAGGAGACTGGGCAGGAGCTCAGAGGACACAAGTCCAAGGCCTTAGCGGGGTGACCTTGCGCATGTCAATATCGGCACCTCAGTTCCTCCATCCCTTACAGAGAAAAACATCTGCCTTGCTCTTGTCACAGGATCACGGTGAGGGCTACGGAGACATGATACACATGTCAGAGCTTTGCAGACTCTAAGAGAGCATTTCCCCAACAGGTAACCGGCAAACACTGTTCCTCAGAATGGAAAAAGAAAAAAAAGGCCCAAGCTCAAAAAAGATGAGCACTGGATTAGACAAGGTTCATCAGGATGGTTTCTTTACTGCAAAACAACTAAGCATCTTTTCTTTTTTTGAGAGACAGGGTCTCGCTCTGTTGCCCAGGCTGGAGTACGGTGGTGTCATCTCACTGCAACCTCTGCCTCCTGAGCTCAAGCAATCCTCCCACCTTAGCCTCCCCAGTAGCTGGGACCACAGACGTGTGCTACCACACTCAGCTAAGTTTTGTATTTTTTGTAGAGATGCGGTTTTGCCATGTTGCTCAGGTTGGTCTCAAACTCCTGGGCTCAAGTAATCTGCCCACCTAAGCCTCTCAAAGTGCTGGGACTACAGGCGTGAGCCACTATGCCCAGCTTTAAGCATCTTTAATGAACTAAATAACACATACACTACATGAAATAAATGTACCCAGAGTGATTCTTCATGAGAGAGACACTGTGACGTAATTTCCCAACTCTTTCTTAAGGACACCCAGCAATTCAATGTTCTGAAAGTAGTGTGGGGAAATGCAGCTGTAAGGTATTAGATTGTTCTCAGCAGAAAAGCAATACGCTCTTACCTGTCCTTCACTTTGTTCACAGGCTAAGCAAGCAAGAAAGTGGAGGGGCAGGCAGGGCCAGATCCCCAGAGGTTTCGCTCACGCAAGACAGAAGTCACTGTCTGTCCTGCGGCTGGAGGGGCTGCTTTGCTCAGAAGACACAGGTCTTCTCCAGAATCTCACGTGGCTGCTTACTGTTTCCCTGTCTTCTCTCCCCATTTTGTCCTTTGCTAAGGAACCTGAACTGAACTGAAGTCCAGGTCTTCTGTAATAGAGTGTCTCTCCTTCAACAGGGAACAAAACTACAGTCGCCTGTGGTTTTTGCTTCTGTTCAGTCTCCATCGTGGCACGCCACACTCTCCTGGTCTGTGCCCTGCTTGTTTCTTTACTGCCCTCCTGCCTGCCCTTTCTGTGCTGGAGGCTCATCTCATTCATGCTCAGCCCTCCTTGCTGTCTACACTGTCTTCTTGGGCAATCGTATCCAGTCCCAAGCCTCGAGCTCTACTCATCGTGGTGGAATTCCTGCCTAGAAAAGGGCACACCTTCAGACCTCCAGGCACCTCCAGAGAACACTGCTGTGCACAAGGAACCGAATTCAGTTGTGTGGGACCTGCAGCTGCAATCAGGTTTCAAACTCCTACTGAAATAACTAAGACTGCCCTTTGCAATCTTGAAGCTTATATAGTAATTTTCAGTGGTATAAAATGAAATCAACGTTCAAAGCAGGGATAGCTACACATCCCAGTGGTTTCCGAATTCTCTTTAGTCTCTATATAATAAACACCCAAGGCAAGACCAAGAACGAGGCGAAGTCTGATGTTGTGGGAAGATCCGGACAGTGAAAGGCGGGTTCCCTTGCATCTTTGCAAACATTTCCGACCCTTCCTAAAACTCCTCCAATTCCTCTGGCTCAGACAACCTCTTCCAATACTCTGCTTTTTGCTAATGAAAGAAAAGCTAAAACGTGGATCATAAGCAGCATCTACAGTTTTAGTGCAGCATGTCTGCTGACGACAGGTAGCACCGCCAGCTGCATTTGAACAGCATCCTACTGGAGAAAACTGAAACCGCAGGGCGGTCCGTTTTCAGTGGTGGATGATGAGCAGGTCTCCTCTGTGACGTGCGTATGTGGTTTCCAAGTTTTACATGATGACAATCATAAATAAAAGTTTTATATGATGACTTCATAAATAAAAGGAAAGCAGTTGTTTTTTAAAAAAGAAATGTTCTTCCACATAAGGCATCAGTAAAATTGTGACCCTACAACAGTAGATGTTTTTTAATTTTTATTTTTTGTAGAGATGGGGATCTTGCTATGTTGCCCAGGCTGGTTTTGAACTCTTAGCCTCAAGCCATTCTCCTGCCTTTGCCTCCCAAAGTGCTGGGATTACAGGCATGAGCCACCATGCCTTCCCAGTTTTGTGGGGTTTTTTAAAATAAAACAAAGCGTGTGTCCTTGACTCACCTCAGCTTTGCCTGCTTGTCCAATCCAGCCACTTTCCGCACCACCTGCTGGCAGAAGCCATAGCACATGAAGAGGACTGAGTTCTCAGCGATGTTGGCGATTAGTGCTGGGCTGGTCCCCTTGTAGAAGCCACGGAAGCCCACCTGGGAGTAAGTCTTCAGGCAGCAGTCCGTGAGGCCCCGGTACAGGTCAGGGAACGTCTGCATCTTCACTTTCATCGTGTCAAAGGGCTGCCCGGTCAGTACACACGCTGTGCCCCCTGGAATCAGGACAGAAGACTGCTCTAGTATGAGGCTACATTTCCATTATCTATGGAAAGAAGGCACAGGCAGCCTACCCCAGAACTTACCCCTGCTTCAGTTCATTTCAACCTCTTTTCCTCCAAAACCTTCCAGCCATGTCCAGTAAACGATTTATAGCAGGTCCTTGATGTGCCTGGCATCTAAGTCGCACCCTGAAGGAGCTCATGCCAGGCAGGGGAGAGAGACAGACATGTGCTCAAAAGTGGCAGGCAGAGGACGCAACAGTGCAGTGAGTATGTAGGAGCCTGAGCAATAGGGTCAGAGGGACTACGGCTTTGCTGCGAGATCCTGGACAAGCCACATAACTTCTGAGTCTCAGCTCCTCATCCATGCCACCTCATAGGGTTAGCATGAGGATTAAATAAAAATGGAGGAGACAGGCTTAGCACAGCACCAGTTACGTAAGTGGTTAGTAACCAGTGGCTACTGTGTGTGTGTGAAACGGAAACCACAGAAAGGGAGGGGAAACCTGGGAAGACTTCATCACTCACTTTGCCTAACGCCCAGTGGGACTGATCAGACCCGGCACCACAGAAAGGAAACAAGAAGCCTGGCTAATTAATCCCCAAAAAGCTAAATATTTCATTCTATAGAAAAACCTCTTTAATTTGAGCTCTACCGATTAATAACGTGTATTTAGAGAATGGACTGAAATTTATTTATGCTTAGCTTAAATCCTTTATTTATATACTTTTATAAGAATATTAAATACAGCAAAGTCTACATTGCACAAAATAATTTTTTTTTTTTTTTTTTGAGATGGTATCTTGCTCTGTCACCCAGGCTGGAGTGCAGTGGTGCAATCTCAGCTCACTGCAACCTCCACCTCCCAGGTTCAAGGAATTCCTGTGCCTCAGCTTCCCAAGTAGCTGGGATTATAGGTGCCCGCCACCACACCTGACTAATTTTTGTACTTTTCTTAGAGATGGGATTTCACCATGTTGCCAAGGTTGGTCTCGAACTCCTGGCCTCAAATGATCCTCCTGCTTCGGCCTCCCAAAATGCTGGGAGGCATGAGCCACCATGCCTAGCCACGTGAAATCATTTTAATAAAAATTCTAAACAGCAGAAAAGGAATGAACTGTAACCACCCTACAACATCCCCACACCCTGTAGTAGGGTTAGTGTCATGGGAACTCCCAGTGGTTAGCGTTTACCATCCCCTCCTGGACCTGAGAGGAGCTCTTAAAACTTCATCAAAATGCAAAAGAAGGCTTATAGAAAATATCTGACAAATGCAACTTCCTGACTTTGACATTATACAGTTATTCCATTTAAACTCTGGAAAGTGGAGTTGGGGGAAGGGACATTAAGAATAATTCTCAATTATTTATTGGCAAATAAGCCAACACTTCCAAAGAGTCTGAAAACCACTTGATCTCTTTTTTTTTGAGACGGAGTCTTGCTCTGTCGCCCAGGCTGGAGTGCAGTGGCGCGATTTCCACTCACTGCAAGCTCCGCCGCCTCCTGGGTTCACGTCATTCTCCTGCCTCAGCCTCCCGAGAAGCTGGGACTACAGACGCCCGCTACCACACCCAGCTAATTTTTTCGTATTTTCAGTAGAGACGGGGTTTCACTGTGTTTGCCAGGATGGTCTCGATCTCCTGACCTCGTGATCCGCCCGCCTCAGCCTCCCAAAGAGCTGGGATTAGAGGCGTGAGCCACCGCGCCTAGCTTTTGATCTCTTTTTTAAGCAACAAGCAATATGATCTGTGTGAGCCCATCGTTACTGTTCATTTCTTGCAGGAGAGGAATGACACACTTCTGCCTTTAACTGCCAAATAATCCCCAATTCTGAATGAGTGGAATATAAGTTAATATGATTTTACTATGATTAATCCTGAGTCATTCTCTCCCAGGTACCGCTGGGCTAGGATAAAAAGATATCTGAATGACATTAAAATAATTTAATTATTCCCAGAGAAGAGGTGACAGAATGTTTTAAGTGGCTGCATAATTCAGAGAGCCTAGATGCAGATAAGCTGCATCTAGCCATAAAGCATTTAATTCAGCACATTCATCTTTGAAGTTGATCATCTTGAACAGTTCAGGCATCACAGGTTACTAGAATACACATTTGCTGTATAGCTGGGATAGTTACATTTCCAACAGGGAGAAGGGGGAGGCTAATGAACGTACAAATGCTAGGACAACTGTCTCCCGTCCTCTGCGAGGGTAAGCTAACTTCCTGTGTCATTTACCGCAAATGACATGGTCATGGCGCTCACGGTGCCCTCAAGTGAGAGAACACTGTTCTAACACCAGTACCAACCACGGAGCCTGACACGTAGTAGGTTCTCAGAGATCTATCAAGTCCATAAAGGCATGAATAAATATTATATTTCTCCACTTGCCTAGAAGTCAGACTTCTGATCTTATTCTCCTTAAAAGACAAATAACAACATTCTTTAGGCGGTGTGGTGGCCAGCCAAGCACCTTATTCCGCAGGAAAGGCACTCAGACTATGTCGTACCTAACACTTTACCAAGGGTGGTGGTTTGGATTTTCAGTCCTTGACATAGAATCACTAAATCTTGAGATATAGAGGAAATCTATCAGGGCAGGGGCAGTGTCTCAGGGAAGGGACAGCTCTGAAGAAGGCAGAGAGGTGAGAAGAGAGAAGCAGACTCACACCACAGGACAGGTCCACCCGAGCAGAGGTGAGGCCCTCAAACCCCTCTGGAGGCCATCCGTAAAGGTTTAACAGGGCAGGGAGGTATATCATTTTCAAGAAACTCCAATCAAAACAGGTTTGGGGTTGCTTTTAATTTTGGCATTTGAGAAGATAAACTTCAACGATCTGAAATGCCACATTCCCCAACTACGCCAAACAAGCTACACTGCAACACTAGTCAAAGTAGTGACTGCATTGTTTTCGAGCTGCTGAATGACTAACTCTTAAAGTGGTACCAAGTTTCCCTCCAAGACTATTTAACTTTTGGGATCCACGCGCCCCCATTTCAATAATTATCTGATTACCTAACTAAGTTCTTGAAATCCTCCTTCGTCCTAGCTGATTAGGGACCTAGATCTCTTACAGCCATTGCAGATAGGGAAATGAGAACCTCCCAGCACTTTAGACTAGATGAGCGGGCTGAAAACCTGTGTGGCGGGGAAAACTTTGTTTAAAAGGAAAAGAAGAAATACACACAACAACACATTTAAGCTCCATCCACATCACCTCGGGCAGCAGCTGGCTGTGTGCTTACAGTCGGATCGCTTCCATGGGTGACCTCTGCCACAAAACACTACAGGTCCTCTGTTCCTATCCAATGGCTGGCAGAGAAATCCCAAAGCCCAGCAAGTTCCACATCCAGAAAGTCAGGGCCCAAAGGCTCCAAACTCACCCTCCCCTCCAGTGTGCTGCAGACGCATTACGGAGTACTAAAACAGAGACGGCACCACCACCAGACAAGCGACCCAGGGACCTCGGTCCTGCCCTGTCTTCGCACCATCTTGTTGCATAACCTTGAACAAGTCTGCTGCTCCTTGTGGGCCTTTTTCTACATTCTCAACGAGCACTGGAGCCAACAATGTCTAAAGGTCGCTCTAGCGCCAGCACTCAAAGACTCCACGATCCTCTAAAGTGGGAATCTACTTTCCATTTGCATCCCATGGGCCTCACAGCAGAACAGAGGTTTTTGTGTCACTGATGGGCACCTCCTCGGCCCAGGCCCCAACCTAAAGACCAAGTCTCCCTCCCCTTCCCCATCCCATGCCCCCAGGAATGGGCTTCGTTGTCCTCAGAAGTTAGACTACCCATCGCAGCTCTACCTCGGTGAGGGGCATCTCTGTGTCGCCAGCACAGGGAGAAATACTTGTCCAACAGTGATGGGGACAGTGTGTCAGTACACATAAGGGACCAATATGTGTTCAAAACATGCCCACCAGCAAATGCCTTATGTACCAGCCTCCCAACCATACTGTTGCAATTTCTATCTTTCAAACTAACTGTAAATTATAAATGTGGTACCCAAATACCTGTATGCACATAAATAGGAAAAGGTAGACTTTTAAATTCTATCACCATAGGTTCTAGATCTTTGACAGACTGACTGAAAGACATAAAATGTCAAAAGCTGAGACTACATGTGGTTGAACACCCTCCTACTGCAGACACAGAACTGAGCCCAGGAGCATTCACTTGCTGGTGACAGGCGGCCGGGGGCAGGCAGATGGTTGCACCATTCTCAGGGTCAGCGTCCTCCCCAGTGTGCCATGGGGGAGGGGAGGGGGCCCGGGGCCCGGGAGGCTGTAGCCTAAAGGCACACAGTGGGCAAGAGACTACTGGGCAGACCCCCACCAGCCTTCAGTTCCCTGGGCATCTGGGGCCGGGACGCGCCTTGTGGGTTCTGCCCTGGGAGAAGTACCCTTGCCCAGTGCTCCTCATTAGTGTCAGTGACGCGCTCTCTCCAGTCCTCCTCATCAGCATACCTTGGCCGACCTTTGGCTCATGGGAAAACACTTTGCTCTTCTCTGAACAATTTCTTTTTCACAATGGAGCAAATGACTGATGAGGTGGCCACACTCATGACTATACTCATCTGCTGGTGGTGGGGGTGGGGGTGTGCTGGAGAAGGACGGCACTGGACAACACGCCCTCTGGCCTCCCCACTCCAGGGAGCTGCAACTACTATGAGAATCCTGTGGGAGGCCAGGGTAGTCCGGGGTTTCCCTGTGGACAATCGGCATTCCAGCTGCTCCTCCTACTTCTGGACTCTGGAGAACCAAATTACCACCACGCCCTTCCCATTCTGCCTGTGCCTCAGCCTGAGGGTCCTGCTCTTCTTGCAGGTTCAAGGTGATCTTTCTAAGGAGTAGCCTGCACGATGCCAGCACTACCCCCGTATCACAGGCAGCACCTCCCTGTGCCGGGGGAGCCTCAGGCTCTTGGGTTTAGGCCCCTGGGCTCAGGTTAGCTGACATTCCCAGCAAATCCCACAACTTCTTTCATGGCTCTAAGACACAGTCCGTTATCAGTCTTGTTTTCAAAGACATGTCTTTTTTTTTTTTTTTGAGACAGAGTTGCCCTCTCATTGCCCAGGCTGGAGTGCAATGGTACAATCTCAGCTCACCACAACCTCTGCCTCCCGGGTTCAAGTGATTCTCCTGCCTCAGCCTCCCAGGTAGCTGGGATTACAGGCATGCGCCACCATGCCTGGCTAATTTTGTACTTTTAGAAGAGATGTGGTTTCTCCATGTTGGTCAGGCTGGTCTTGAACTCCTGACCTCAGGTGATCTGCCCGCCTCGGCCTCCTAAAATGCTGGGATCACAGGCGTGAGCCACTGCGCCCAGCCTTTTAAAGACATTTCTAAGAGTGTCCTCCTTTCTTTCCCAACACTAGCAGGGACAGTAAGTGGTATTTCCCAGGAGATGCTATGGTGTTCTTTTTGCACTACAAGGGCTCTGAAGACTGTCAGGCTTGAAGTGAAGAACCATTGTCACCTGCATATCCCAGCCAGGTGACAACGGACAAGCGGCTTCACCTCTGAGCTGTTTTCCAGCTGTACCGGGCACATTCCACCCCTCACCCTGACTCACAAAGTATTAACAATAATGGACACTCCTCTACCTTCTGCCACGCTCTGAACAATACTATACTTCCATCAAATGGATTCATCCCAAAGGTAAAGCACGTCGCTTCTGGAGGGAGAGAGGTAATATTTTCATACCACTTTCATCTGATCTCATTTACAGGGTAGCTGAGGAATAGAGAGAACTGGGTTTTCTCTGGGATGACAGTTAGGCATTGCTTAATGACTGGGACATGTTCTGAAATACGCGTCATTACACAGCTTCATCACTGTGCTATCACAGAGCATACACACCCAACTCGAGATGGCATAGCCTACTCCACACCTAGGCTAGACCGTATGGCCTGTGGCTCCTAGGCCACACACCTGTACAGTATGTTACTGTACGGGATGCTGTAGGCAACTATAACACAGTGGTATTTGTGCATCTAAATGTATCTAAACACAGAAGAGGTATAGTAAAAATACGGTAGTATAATCTCATGGGACCACCACCAGCTACGCCGTCCATCACCGACAGAAACATGGTGAGAAGGCACATGACTGTACCTGCAGCCCCCGCCGTGAGGTCAATAGCAGCCTGGATAGCCGGACTGGACTTCATGTTTGCCCACTCTTCTGCTGGTCTTGTGGAAGGCAACTCTCTGGAGCTTATGACAGGCACCACATATCCCTGCAGGGAGGCAAGAGTTCACCATTAGTCCAAGTCTGCAGCATCCTGTTCTCTAGGCCTGCAGCCAAATGACGGAACCTAAACTTCTGGGAGCCATGAACTGGGCTGCACATCGTTCCAAAGGAAAGGGGCTCAAGGTATCAGTGCAGCTTAGCAACTGCCCCCTGGAAAACTCACAGATCAAAAACCTCCCCTGCGTATCAATGCTACAGCCACCAGCAGCACTTCAAGTGACCTTTCTGAAAACTGAAAAAATGAACACCAAATAAGTAAGCCAATCACAGTACCAAACCGCATCAGACTCGTTTTTTTAGAGGCCTACGTTGAGCCAGCAATTGAACGGGCTCAGTTCTAAATTCAGACAGCAGCCTGTGCTGGGTGCCTAAGGGGATCTCACCAGACAGTAGGTCTGGAAAGGAACACGCAGGTGGCCAAGGCTGGGAGCTGCACCCTGGATCACACACGCCTCAGTGAATGGCTGCTCTACCTGCAGCGTGGCTCCTTCAGCCTCTACAGCTGGGAGTCCTCATCTGTACAAGGTGAGTAATAAAAATATTGTAAAACAAAGGTAGTCACAAATAGCCACATCAGACTGATGGGACGCCCCACTGTGCACAAGCGTCACGTGCTCTTAGAACAAGGCCCTGCACAAGCACCTTCCTGTCACACACATCTTCCTGTCACCACAGTCCACTAGCCCTTCAAATGTAAACGTGCGCAGGAGTCGCCTGGGGGGCCTTGCTAAATAAAACGCAGCTTCTGATTCAGTAGCCTCGGTCAGGACCAGAGATTCTGCCTGTTTTGATGAGCTCCCAAGTGAGGCGGACAATGCCAGTCCACAAACTCACACTTTGAGATACAACACCTGGCCCATTGTGTCCAAATCCGCTTGATCACCTAGAGTACTTATTAAATATCCAAATTGCCAGGACTTTCTTCTGGAAATCTTGATTCAGTATGTTTGGGTTGGAGCCTTGGACATTTGGGAAAAAGA